GGGGGGGGCTCTTTCCATCTTGGCTTCAAGCCACAAGGCAGTTCCAGGCGACCAGGCGGTGTCTAACGAAGCCTCCGGTTGTAAAATATTTGCTGTAGTTTGAACAAAAGCAGTTTTTCCCTTAAGCCCAGCTTCCAGGAACCGATACACCCGCAAGACTGAAACGCTGTGCAAGTTCACTTTTTGAACTCCCAATGCTACAGCCGGGGCTGTATTCATTTCCAGCGATAGTGCAAACCACGGGGCTTCCTCTTCCTCGCTGTCCGCCCTCTGCTCTTTCTGCGCCAGTGGCCGCCTTTTCAGCCTTTCTGGTCTTTTAGCCATCATATGGGGCAACGCCTCTGTCAGCCGCCACCAACAGCCATTTCGAAAACAAAGCAAGGACCCAAGGAGAAGAGGGGGAGAAAAACTGCTCAGTAATTAATGGCGTGGTAATGAACAATGTTGCCATTCATTGTAAAACGATGTTTAAGACGATTTTGTTGAGTACTCATAGAATCTAAGAAATATTACATGTAAGCAATTTACAATTGTATCTGTCCCATAGGAGGAGACTTCAAAAAGTAGGTGGAAGAAAAATGGAATTAAATATAAAAAGAATTTTCCCACCAGCTTTTTGAAGGCCCCTCCTATTATTCGATGATTGAAATCGATAATAAATATTACTAAGGCTCCTGCATGGCTTGGTGTGGGAGGCGATCCTTGGAAGGGGGGTGTAAGCCACTAAATGCTAGTGAACATGTAGTGAAATTGGGATCCTCATCCACTGCTGCTGGGACTGCAGGAGGTTAATTGGGAATTAATACATATATTGCATCATTCCATAGTTCAAGCACGCCCAGCAGAGTTGTACACACCCTGTGATGCAGCCCTCCTCCTGCAGGTGCACACCCTAGAGGAGTACAACCGTGGCAACGCAGCTATAGGTACACCCAGGCTCACTGCAGCATCATGATAGGTGCAGTGGCGGAACGGCTGAACAAACTTGGGTACAGCCTTGGGAATACAGTACAATGCAGTAGTGAAGAAGACCTGAATCAGCAAAATGTGGGAAACAGAAAGGTTATTCCCCAGGTTGTCCCCCATATTATATACCAAACCTAAGAGGCTGCTGGCTAATACATGATCCGTGACCATACGCTTGCAGGTCAACTGCCTAAAGGTTATCTCCCTGAGGCTTATCAGAGCAATCAGACCCTATCCTGTGCCACACTCCCTTATGATAAGGAAAATGGACTGTTCCCCTGAAGGAGAGCCCAAAGACAAGGTCAAGTCAACTCAGGGAGGACCAAGGTTAGGCTGCTATCTTGACTCTAAAGTCCACCCATCTTGCCACATGGATGCCCCTAGTGCCCCTCCTCCTCCCTATTGCATGTACTTCCCTGTTTCCCTTTCCTTCGCCCACGTGAATAGGTGTCTATTCCCCTCCTGTTGTACAATCCCTTCCTGTTACGCATTTGGTTACCTGCAATAGGGGGGCTTGTATGCCTAGAGTGTATATAAGCCTTGGTTGAAAATCTACTCTCTCTCTCTGTGTGGACCTGGCTGCCGAGATCATGGCTGTCCAGGAGGTGAGTGCTTGCATGGTTTGTCTTGTCTGATGTCTCTTAAATTTTCCCCTCAATTACACTACCGCCCCTTGGACCTGTTCAATTGTGGGGACTGGTACCCCACAGCGAAACATCTCATAGCACAGATTAACCTAGGGGACATCATGCAGAGTGAACTTAGTCCATCACAAGAGGACAGATCTTGTGAGTCCCCTGCTAAAAAGCCAAGAAAAGGCTTACACACAGAAAGGAACATTCTTTGAAGGTGGCTGGAGGTGAGAGGGAAAGAAAGAGGGAGCAGACACCTGTCCAGGTGGGCGAAGGAAAGGGAACTAGACAACCAGGGAAAGGTCGGCAAACTTGATCCAGATACAGGACGGCGCTTGGAGAAGAACAGCAACCACAGTGACCTCCCAGCGCAGATGTAGACTCTCAGACCGAACGTAGGCGGGAAGGCGACGTATGTGCTCCAAATACAACCACGGAGACAGTAGAGAGCATGGGGCAGAGTTACGGAAACTTCCTGGCCCTAAGCAAACACCCTGAGGAAGCGAGTCCCTGGGTGTGGGGGCTCACACCACAGAGTCTCGAGGAACTCTAAGATCTATTGGCAAAGTCAGGATGAAACACACAACCTTCCTCTAGTTCTTCAATGCTTTCGCCCCCCCCACCCCCCATCCCAACTAGTATGACCCCAATTCCAGCTTACAAATCTGGTTAGACCAGAACATGTGTACTGGTACAGTGGTACAGGCAAGAACTCCCAAGACAAGGAATCCAGAACAGATAACCCCCAATAAGGGGAGCAGTGATACCAGGAGGGTAAGGGGGGTGGGGAGTAAGGGGGAATCGATCACAATGATCAATGTATGGCCCCCATCCCAGGGGGATGGACAGCCGAAAAGTGGGTGAAAATGAGACAGAGGTTGATTTAAGACATTAAAAAAGAAGAAGAATTTATAAATTATCACAGGGACATGGGGGAGGGAGGGTGGAGGGGGCGGGAATGAGGAGCTGATGCCAGGGGATCAAGTAGAGAGAAAAATGTTTCGAAACACATGATGACAGCATGTGTACAGATGTGTTTGACAAAATGGATATATGTATCGATTGTAATAAGAGCCGTAAGAGGCTCCAATTAAAATTTAAAAGGGGCATAATGTAGTCCCATGAAACAATGTTCTACATCCTACTTCGGTGAGTAACTGCTCATCAGCATAGAGCATAAGGTGGGGAAGAAATCAGAAGGTGTTGGCTAGAAGGAAGAAGAGCTTCTGGGGTCTTAAAGGCTTTTCTTCGAACAAGCAGCCATCTACATGAGGTGTCCGCTAAGTCCACATAGAAGGCCCCCAGCCTACGTGAGCTAAAGATTTCAAATAATAAAACCCAAGACCAGAAGAGGAAATGGTATTAGAACTTAAAATCAGCCAGTTAGTTGGCTGAAGGCTGTGGATAACAGTGTAGCCTCAATCCGTTTTCAGGGCCCCCACGTGGATTAAGCTTCAGGAGCATCCCCTTTGGCTATTGACCAGGGATGTGGATGGCCTTGCTATTAGACAAAGTGGACGGATGCTACACCTTATCACTTGTTCTCCCTTTTGACCCATTGTAAATTTGCTCTTGTTTTAATTTATTTATCTATTTACTAGTTGGGATTTAATACATATATCATTCCATATTTCAAGCACATCAAGTACAATTGTACAATTGCTACAGTAATTCATTTCCAAACATTATTTTTCTACATGGACTCCTAGACATGTCTCCCTTTACCCACTGCCACCAATGTACCACACACCCACCCCCATGCTTTATTTTTTATTGAGGTTGTTCCTGTTTGATTTTGTTATTGTTGTTGGTTTGGGGGGGAGTTGTGTATTTTTCTTTCTAGGAAACCCAAGATAGGGGTGAATCTATAGAGTCAGTCACTGGATTAATAGTTTCTTGGGGGTAGGGCAGGAGAGGTTGGGGGGAAATGAGAAGATAATAATAGGAGTGCGTGGTGCGTGGCCCCGATGTAGAGTCCCCTGTATAGAGCTCTGCTCCTGTGGCCCAGAGAGCACAACAGGTACGGGAGTCAAGTCTGGGAACTTAGACACAGGCCCTAGACTCCCGGCTCTGTGAGATCCTTTTCAGACCTCCCACGGCGACACTCTCACAGGGAGCACTGAGTTCTCCTTCTCCCTGTGCAGGCTAACCCCCTCTCCACTTGGGGAGGGCTCTCCTACATCCTACGGAAGCAGGCTAGTCCTGGGAATTCAGAAGCAGGACCCAGACTGCGAGCAGCGGGACTGTTTCAGACATCCCACTCTGATTCTGGCCCATAGAGCGCCAACAGAGCTCAAGGTGGCCCCCCTTCCCCCCCCATAACAAATCAGACATTTTGGGGTGTAATCTCCATTCCTTTATCCTACCTAGTAACACTACTCGACGCCTCCCACTTAAAAAAATTACTATTCCTTCCTCTCTCCCTCCCCTAACACTTCCTCCTCCACTGTCTGATCACTGTGTTAGTCTGGGTTGACTAGAGAAACAAATTCATAGACACTCATATGTATATAAGAAAGAGCTTTACCAGGAGGGTAAGTGGAAGGTGGAGGGAAAAAGGGGAAACCGATCACAGTGGTTTACATATGACTCCCTCCCTGGGGGACAGAAAACAGAAAAGTGGGTGAAGGGTGACATCGGTCAATGTAAGACATGAAAAAATTTTTTAAAATAAATTATCAAAGGTAGAGAGGGAGGAAGGGGTGGCGGGGAGGGAGGGAGAAAAATGAGGAGCTGATACCAAGGGTTCAAGTAGAAAGAAAATGTTTTGAAAATGATGATGGCAACAAATGTACAAATGTGCTTGACACAATGGATAGATGTCTGGATTGTGATAAGAGTTATACGAGCCCCCAATAAAACAATTCAAAAAAGAGCTTTATATAAAAGAGCAATTGTATATTGAAAAAGCCTCCCAGTCCAATCCAGACCAAGTACATAAGTCTGGCATTAACCCATATGTCTGAAACTAGTTCATAAATTCTTTAGACTCACGCAGAACATTCAATGGTGTTGAATGCAGGAAGCTCACAGGCCAGTGGGTAGAAAGTCTTTCATATCCAGTGGCAGTGGAAGCATCTCAGTGCTGGCACAGGTCTCCACATGGCTCCTCCAGCTCTCTGAGTGTCTCAACAGCAAGAAAGGGAAGGCAGAGAGGGTGGGTCTGGCCTCCAGTTTGCTATTTATCTCTGTTGTGCCTCCAAATGAGGTCATCAAGCTGAGACCTGGACAGACTA